ACAATCCACCTGTGCACAGAGAGTTACAGGCCTTCGAATTCAATCAAATAAATCTCTCTGAGTACTATATCTAACAGTTCGACAGTCTGCGAAAGGAAGGCTGTGTCCTGTGTCATGAGATGTTACAGAAAAGACCTAGCTCCACAACGAACACGTACTCCAGTGTTTACAATGCAAAGCTCTACCTAGCCTATGGAAATAAAAGCTGTAAAAATAGCTCATTAAGACTGCAACACTGTTATGATGAAAGAACTACCAGCACATTAACATATGCCTGCCTACATTTATTTATGAACAGCAATTGACCCTTCGCTACGCTCCGCTCCCTTGAGTTACAACAAGCTTTGAAGAACGACTCATAGCACTGAATCTGAGATTTCTATGAAAAGTGTTATGTTCAGCAAAACGTGCTCATTAACCGTGCACTGTCACCTTTTAATAAACAAAGTATCAGCTTTAAAATTCTGCCAAATTCATAATGAAATTCAAACAATAAATACCATTTTGACGCATATAAATGTGGCATGAGCGATCGCTTTAGCACCTCAGTTCAAGCGGCACTTGAACCCATCATATCTTTCTCTTTACTACTATAGTACCAAATACACATGAATGGACATCAAAAGGAATATTATAAGATTCAAAACCATTTGGCGTCCATAAAATCATTAGTCCGCTAGAAAAAATAACTATAAAGAGGAGCATTTTGCTAAATATATACGCTATATTGCATATTCAAATTTTCCCTTAATCTGTTGTCTACATGATAAGAAAGAATGCAAGGAGCTAAAGATAAAATTCAACACCTCCTATATAACTGCATGTTATGAATGAAGAAAAACAGACTGGATGTGTGCAAGACATATGACAACATTTATAGGATGCATTGAGGAGGAGCCCAAACTACACTCAATGGCAAGTGATGCTGACATAGTTATAGGCCGTGATATTGGCACAGATCCTGTGTAATAAACAGTTTGTGACTGTATACAGTTCTCAAGTTGGAAAAGATGTTTAGATCCTACTTTAAGTGAACCTTAGTTCCCAGCACATCTACAAGATGGATTAAAATGCTGATATAGTTGAGACAAAAAAGGCATGACGGTATGACTGAAATGTTAGGGTGTTAAAAAATAATTGAATAAATAAATAAAACATGTTTATTCTGTGGCACTTAAAAAAAATACTTTGTTGCCTAATTTTGTTTTTCTTATAGGAGCCCATGGATTTTTTTTTTTGGTCTGGAGCCCTGCTTACAGTCACACATTTACAGGAAACCTCAAACAAATGTTTTACTATCAGATAAACAAGACGTGATAGAATATAGGTGGCAAATATTGCATTTATTTCTAAATACGCTTTCAGTAAAAGTTTGAAAGACAAACCACTCACTCACCATGGTCATTTTCATAGCACTGAAACTCAGTGCTAACTGAAGTCATTTCATATCCTAGCAACATGTCTGTTAGTGAACAATATCGCCGAGACAGTTAGCACCATTTGCACCCTCAAAAGAGAGAAAGACAGACTTCAAATGACGGAACAGATGGGTCAAATAAACGTTAATGTCTTTTTAGATTTGAGTTTCAACAAATTTACTTCTTCAGTCTGTCCACAAGGCCACCACACAAGTCCACATACTATTTTTTCCTCAGGGGATTGAGTCAATAACATGACCCAATACATTCTGAATGAATCACTTAATGAACTTAGCAGCAGAGCCACAAGTCAGTACAGGAGAATTTGATCAAGGTCAAGGTTTGTGGATACCATTTTGGTTCCTTATCATGTTCATCTAAAACATTCAATGGCTCAGGTGTTGTGTAATGTGACAGAGATCAAACTAATAGTGCTTTTCCACTGCGTGGTATGACTCGGCTTGGCACAGCTCAGTATGGCACAGCACGGCTCGGCTCGGCATGCATTTCCACTGCAGTTTAGTACCGTTTTAGAGTGGGCGGGATTATTCACAAGTCGTTATAGTTGAGCCGCCTCTACTGCCGTGACTCCTGAAAAACTTTTTCATTCTGCATCACCCCATCAAGCTCTCGCTGGATCCGCTCCTCGGCTATCAACGAGAGGAATGTCTGTACTTCCTCAACAGACAGCGAAACAGCCATTTTTGATTGTTAAAAAAGGTATGCTCGTTCAAAACGGTTGCATTCGATCCTTCGCTGGCTGTGCTGATTTAAATCTAGCGGTTCTGTTGTGTTTGTATCGCAAGTTCAGTGATGCAGGTAGTGACGACTTTCTCCGGCCAATCCATGATCAGCAGAGTTTACACGTCACGTTTTGGTAACGGTACGGTTCACTCGGAACCCCAAACGAGGTGGTACTAAAAAAAAGTACCAGGTACTGTACCCAGTGAAAAAAAACCCAAAAGTGAACCGTACCATGCAGTGGAAAAGCGCCATAAGTTAAGTTTAAGGAACTGGCATCATACGACAACAAAATACGGTGAATTCATTTATTTGAATGAATGACCAGCAATGGTCATAAAAATATTTCTGCTCACCAGATTGAAAAAAAAAAAAAAAAAAAAAAATGTAAGAAACAATCAATAATAACCATTTTCTCTGCAATATTATCATGCGCTTTTGGTGAACATTTTTTGTTTACATCAAGGATATTGTTTAGTGATCGCCTGAATGTCTGTTGCAGAAAAATATAAGTGCGGAAATGCAGTGGCATTCTACATTAACATAGCCAGACCAAAAAATTTAGACCACAACCTTATATCGCATTTACAGTTATTTTATTTATTATTGTTGTAGTTTATACTCACAAAAATAATAAAATTACAATTATTAACATACATTGACAGTATTATAAAAAAAAATATTACTTAAGTTCCAATTGTTTTATAGATGTAGTTATTGTAGCTGGAAAAAATAATAATAATAAATTATATATATATATATATATATATTAAATAACCATGTGATAACACCTATATTTGTATAATCCATTTAAATTTATTTAAAATGTAAATTATTTTTTTTAGTTGATCAGATTTAATGAATTAATTTGTTTATTTATTTTTACGAATGAGTGTAGCATTTAAAAACTATTATATGGTGATTTGGTGCTCAAGAAACATGTCTTATTATTATCAATGTTGAAAACAGTTAAATGCTGCTTGATATTTTTGTGGAACCCACTATATATTTTTTCAGGATTTCAGAATGAATAGAAAGATCAATTTAATTGTCAAATGAATAAATTTCATTCTCAAAAAACTGACCCTAAACTTTAAAACTGTAGTGTAACATAGGATAAAAACAAGACTCAAACACAAAAACTAACTTTATAAAATGGAAAATTCTGATTAAAAATTCTGATTGGATGAGTCGCAGTTTAAGCTGTTGAAAATTATCCAATTCTCACACCTGGGTCAACACACCAGAAGAATTCTATATTAATGAAACAAGTTTCTGATTTTGCTCATCAAATTAAAATGGTTTCCTGTTGTTGCAAACACCCCATAATAACAAGTTATTCCTCATTTTGACTTGTTTGGGACGCATCCTTCGTTATTGTTGCAATACATGTTTCCAAATGTAAATAAGCAGTCCTGCCCACTCGCAGACGCACAAACACAGCTACCTACAAACGTTATATAACACAGTCTTTACCATGCTCGATATTTACCACCAGCATGTGTCACCCTACGTCTAGCATGCTTGACAAAGACACAAGCTCTTTAAGCACAGGCTCTTTTTGCTCTGCTCAAAAGCCTCATATCAACCATTAGAAATCTACTGATCACACATATATTTTGGTAGACATAATTTGGGCCCATTCCACATAATTTGGCAAAATTTGGATAAATAAATCAAAAGTAAGGCTGTATACATAACCTAATCGCAGTATGGTTCTAGAGCCTGTGAATATTAAACCGCAAAAAGACTGCTATTGAAATATGACGTCTGCATGCTCTGTATGTCTCTCTATGTGAATGAGAAGCACAGTTTCATCTACACATACTCAAGAACACATGACGCTCGTGGTGTTTTCAGTGTCTGATGTCTCAATATACACTGTAAAAAAAAAGTATTTGTTTTAAAATAATACGATTATTGGAGTACCATTAAAACATTTATAACAAAAAATTTAAGGAACAAATCACACAAATTTTAATCCATGTTTTAATTTAAACTGTAAAGTTCTGTTGAGCAGCAATTTTGTTTTCCAAAAAATATAAGGAATTGCTACATTTGATTACATTTTAAAAGATTAATTAAATCGTTTAATTGATATGCATTCATTGTATTACCACCATTTGTGATTAAAAAAAAACAAACATTGTATGCAATCATAAAACAGAAAATCCTGAAAATAAAAAAAATACATAAAACATTTCATAGGGCACTGTTATTATTACATTTGTATAAATTAATACATTGTTATACTTTTATGAATTCGATTGATTAGACATTCTTTTTAGTTATTAAAATTCAATTAAACCATTAAAACAGAATCCAGAAAAATTAACAGAAAACACAGAATTTGGGAAAAAATAAAACAGATTTCATAGGGCCCAACATAGTCAATGAAAAGGTAGTGGAGATGATGAGCCTGTTTAAATTAGAACATTTAGGCCTGGTTTCACAGACAGGGTTTAGACTAAGCCCAAGTAATTTTTCATAAACATGCCTTTGAAAACACATTACTGGTGTGCATCTTGAGACAAAACAAAGGCACTGATATATTTTAAGATCAGTCAGTGCAAGTTTCTTTCAGTTGACACAGCTCAGACTTTTCCAAGATTTTAGTCTGGGACTAGGCTTAAGCCTTGTCTGTGAAACCGGGGGTTAGAGTAGAACATTTTTGTCTAAGAATGAAATTGTACTCATTCTCCAGTTTTGTTTTGTTTCCAATGATTGCAAACGGCCTCTCGCTAGCATGATTATTTCAAGGAGTTCTTTCTCTGTGCCTAGCCTGCAGAGTCTGTGTTGAACAGGCTAAATATTTATCAGGGAGAGTTTCATTCAACGTACTCATTGACCGATTCCCACAATGAAGGCTGAGGCAGAGGCGTTTCAGTCAGCAAGAGGGTGACAAAGACACACTGTCCAAAAATGGTGTAACTGAAAGACGTGGCTGTCATGGTGTTGTCGTCGAACTGCACCCACAACAGACTACCTATGAGTACACCACAGGGCATAGAACAGACTTAAGGCCGATTTATACTTCTGCGTCGGACCTACGCCGTAGCTTACGCATAGACGCACACCCATACGCCGTAGCCTGACGTGCACCTCTCCAAAAATCTAACAGCGCGTCAATTCTACGTAGATCGCAAGCGCTGTGATTGGTCTGCAAGAACCCCTCCCTCCATATGTACTTGAGTTTTGTGTGCGTTTATGTGCACTTTAATATATTTTAATGTTACACCTTCTTATATAAAATAAAACAAAGCTAAGAACAAGTGTCTTATTTATTATACTACGTAGCATTATACATCAGTAGTTGTCCGCAACAAACAATGTTGATCTGCCGTGGTACAAGTCCTTGTGCAGATTGAAAGAATACCATCATCTCTTGTTCCGTTGTTGTCTCCTTTTTGTAGTTTTAAATAATGATTTAATGATTTGATATATATTTGCCGCCGTCACGGCTATAATGCTTCTCCGACGAGCCGCTTCTTCTTCGGCTTTTGCCGTGGTACTGCGGGTTACACCAGCAACATGCCCGTGGACACTGCTGACTAGCGGTTTGCATGCGTACTGCACGTTGACGCGGACAATGACACAGAAGTATAAATGAGCCTTTAGGCTTACTAATGCTTTTATATATATGTCACCAGCACATAGTGTAGCAGGTAGACTGTTCATCACCTCTGAAACACAGCCCTCCGCCAGTGACTCTCAGAGCCAATGCAGACATGCTAACCAAGAGCCCAGTTGACAACAGCTAATGATTACCCCAACAAGACTCAATGAGAATTTAACCATCAACAGCGGTCTGACCAAATAGCACTTTTCATTTGTTAGTGAACAAAATGTTGACATCAATTGACTGGTACAGAATGTGAGGTTGTATGGTGACCCCAGACATTTGATGGTGAATTTTGTTGCAACCTTTCTAACAATAAACTGCTGATTTGTGCCAAGAGCAGACTTATTATTAGTGCTGGGTGGTATACCGGTTCATACCGAATACCGGTGTTTATTTTTGTTATGATATGAATTTTTTAAATACCGCAATACCAGTGTATGTCGCTTAAACAACGTTCGGAACGCAACACTGTTTGAAAGGGGTCCCTTTTCACTGTTGCACTGTGGTGAGGGAACAGCTGTATGTGTTACTAAGCGTGAAAGTTCCGAAACTGAAGCTGTAGAACTAATAGAACGTGAAGACACAGAAGAACGTCTTGGTTACGTATGTAACCCTCGTTCCCTGAAGGAGGGAACGGAGACGTCACGTCGGAGGACCGACGAAATTGGGATCTCGCTTAGAGGGACCAATCTGCTTCGAGTGTAAACTAAACGAGCCAATGCACATTGGCATGCGATTATTGCATCCAGCTGCTGCTGATCACAGCGTGAGTATAAGTAGGCAGCAGGTGCAGCGCATATTCAGGTTTTCGCTGAGGAGCCGAGCCGGTGACCCGGCCGCTCAGCGGTGGTACAGGAGCTGTGGCGACGGGACGTGACGTCTCCGTTCCCTCCTTCAGGGAACGAGGGTTACATACGTAACCGAGACGTTCCCTTTCAGTCGGTCACTCTCGACGTCACGTCGGAGGACCGACGAAATTGGGATCCTACCAAAGGGCCACAGCTACTGCCCCTTCCAGTGTCCTGTGGAAGCCACCTGCGCCCCTATTTTTTGGCGTAGGCCAGGGCTTCTTCACAAGAGGACCAGCTACTGCTGCAATGGCACTACCCAATGAGTAAGACTGGATAACACTAGGAAAACGTACCCGTTCTACTTGGAACAGGGGCGTTACGGAAGCTCGAACCTTCCCGAAGGAGGTTTCGGAAGCAATACACATATGAACATCCCTTAGGTGCATATGGAAGAATGGAGGTGATTGAACCCTCTTGGAATGGCAGAAGTCTGCCGGGGAAACACGGGCTCAAGACTATACCGTGGACTTTACACATATGAGATCCACTTAGGTCTTACATATGGAACCCAGCCTTCTACCGGTTCTCGAGGATTCAGCGAGTGAAGGCCTGGCGCCGGACGCTCCGCCACGTCTGGCTGCCGAGGGGACGGAGGAACTCAACAGGGTCTACTGTATGGACTCTCTGGAGTGATTTTGCAAGCCGACCCGAAGCCGGGGCCTCTCAGTGCTTCTACCCGTTTGAGGTGAGAACACAGGAGGATACCGGCTCCACACGAAGGCTATAGAATCTAGCGAATGTGTTAGGGGTCGCCCAGCCCGCAGCCCTACAAATATCTGTCAGCGAGGCGCCACGAGCCAGCGCCCAGGAGGATGCTAGCCATTATTTCTGGATCCGATCCAGGCATTGTTACGGTCCCGGAGGAGAGCAACGCAGCCGAATCTTCCTCTCCAGAAAGCTCTGGCTCACCCTCCGATGCTGCAATCGACATCCGATCGTCGGGGGGAGCCTCGGAAGAAACAGGTGGTACCGACCGGAAGGGTCCAGCCTGCTCTTCCTGAGAGCTCCGCTGGTTTCGAAGTGCCGGCGGGCTTGGGCATCCCCTTTCTCTCTTAGGGGAATTCCTCACCGTGAGTCCGCCCACCACCAGAAAAAGGACGCCCCCGGCTGCCACCAGAGGGAACCCTAGATCTGGGCAGTGGCACGGGCAGTGGCACGGGCACTCCGCCCCCTTGCAGGTAACGGAGTCCGGTCCACAACTCCGAGATGGTCATACCCCCGCAATGGGAGCATGAGCAATCCACCAAAGCCACCTCAGCGTGCTTCCCCAGGCACGAGAGGCAGCGATCGTGACCATCACCCAGCGCCAGGTAACGACCGCATCCAGAACGCCCGGCTGATACGTTGTCTATAGCAAAACCCACATCGTTTTTATAAAGACGTAACGTCAAGTTTGCCAAGCAACGTCGTCTTTAAAAAGA